TGTTGATTTGGGCTTAAAGTATCAGAAGTTGGATCATTAGATTGTTGAGTAGAGTTAGAGTTTGTATTTAAGAAAAGTAAAAATTAATAAAAAGAGTTAGCATTAGTGAAATGCTTTTGACCTGCAATTAATAAATCATTGAGAAAGTAATAATAAAATACTTATTCAAGTAGTATACAAGGTACAAGGTGGTTGTTGATAATAAGGTGCTTACCTCTTAAGCTAGATTGTTACTAACTAAAAGGTTTTATTAATCTGCAACATGAGAATCTGAGCAGATTATCATTAATCTTGCTAAATAATTGTATTAAGGAGACATCCATAATTTACGTAAAGAAACATATATAGTAATGATCTGTAAAATTTTAAAAAATAGCAAAATCGATGATATCTTATGACCCAATGATCAGATTTTAACGATTTTGGCACTGTTCGAACTGTCTCATCGAGACGAATCGAATGGTAACAAAATTATTAAATTCGAACCACTAGATCACGAGATAATTAAATTTAACCAAAATTTTAAAATATCTAATTATCTCGGTATCCAATGAACCAAATTTGATGATTTTGGTGTCATTCGATTTATCTCGATGAGACGATTCAAACAGTATCAAAATCTTTAAAATTGGATCATTGAATCGTGAGATATTCACAAAATACTATTTATAACATAATATAACAAAAATTTAAAAAACTGAGCCATAGATAGTTTTTTATAAATATCTCATGATCTAGTAATCAGATTTTAATGTTTTTGGCACCATTATAATCGTCTCAATGAGACAAATCGAATGACATCAAAATCATCAAATTTGGTTTATTGGATACCAAGATAATTAGATATTTTAAAATTTTGGTTAAATTTAATTATCTTGTGATCTAGTGATTCAAATTTAATAATTTTGTTACCATTCGATTTGTCTCGATGAGATGGTTCGAATGGTACCAAAATCATTAAAATCTGATCATTGGGTCATAAGATATTGGTGATTTTGATATTTTTTAAAATTTTGCAGATCATTACTATATACGTTTCTTTACGTAAATTAAAGATGTCCCCTAATAGGCTATAAAATAGACTTAGGATAGTAGTATACAGATAATAATGCAGAGAAAGAAGATATCAGTAAAGATGAAAATAAAGTAATTTATAAAGTTCCAAAGTCTGATGCAAGTTGTAAAACAAGTTTACTCAAATGGTCTTGGGATAACATAGATCATAATGAGTCTGTAAAGAGGTAGAAAATACAAAGAAAAAGGTGGTTAAAGCAAATGATGAAAAGAAGTATTGCAAAAAGAATGTGAAAGTTAGTTTGACAAATACTGATGAAGACAATGTTAGTAAATTGTGTAGTAGTACTGGACATTGTGATAACAAAAAGAATAATATTGAAAGAGATAAAAACAAATTACTCATCTGTTACTATAACATTAGTAATATAGATAATGATAAAAAGAAAATGCTTAAGCAGAAGTCAAAGTATATTGAAGGTGAAGAATTGGTTGTAGGACCTAAAATAAAAGATGAAAATAGATTAATATTTGATTATAGAAAACTAATTGAAAGAAAAGACCTAATATCTGATATACATTATGATGAAATCAATACTGAATATATATTTGTGGAATTCAATGATAAAAAGTACTTGGCTAGATTTGATGAAGTCATGGTATTTGCATAGGATACGAATATTGCTGATGATGTTGAATCTTGTAAACAAACTGCTGTTAAATATAGTTGCCAAAAGGGTAATAATAGTTTAAATACAAACAAGGAAAAAGGTAAAATATACAATAATATAATTAAGAAAAAAGATAGAAACTTAAGAGATAAAATAGAAATTAGGAGTACAGATGTGGTGTTTAATAAAGGTGAATCTGTTGCTTTAGGTAAGAAAAGTGTAAAGCTGGTTGGAAGTATAGCCTCAAAGGACGTAGCTATAGTCTACTGTAATGATTAAAGTATTTCAATTGATTTGGGTAATAACCATAGTATAAGCATTGCTAAGGTTGGCAGTGCTAAAATTAGAAATGCCAATAGACTATGTAATAGACCTGAAGAGTGCAAATATCATTGCAAGTATAAAATTCACATAAAGAATTATTGCAGAACTAGAGCCAGCAATGTAGATAAAAATAATGTTCTTGATCAATTGTGATATAACAGATAGGTAATAGATGCAATATGTTGCTGATGAATATGTATTTAATCGAGGAAAGCATTAATTAATATCTGGGATGCTGTAGTATAATATTTATAGTATAGAAAAAAAATTGATAAATGAATATTAATATATATATAATTTTAACAAAGGATCAATATTTGTCCTTAAGGAGGTTCAAAAGAACTATTAAAAGTATATGACATATGGGATCTATATACTAATTAAGCAGAATTGTAGATGTGTTAGTGAATTATATACAGTTGGTATAAATACCAAATTAAGATAGAATTAGGCAACAATTAGTTATAAGAATACTGAAGTAAAAAGATAAATTATACATAAAAGTGTAGTGTTTGTTAGTATATTTAGATTTGTGTGAATTGTATATGAATAGTTGTTAAGAGAGAGGTATATATGTTTGTATTAGATAATAGAGATGTTGTGAAAGTAGAAACTTTAGGGATAAAGTTCCAGAGGATCTAGCTTGTTTCATAATAATAACCAGTATGCAGTATATCTAGTGTGTGGTATTGATTTGAAGGTCTAAAACAAATAGATAATAAGTTAAATTAGTAAAAAAAAAATAATTTAGTATAGGTCATTATTTATTTCAATTGAAAAGGCACATCGATTGATCATCATATGTCCACATAATGATTGACCAGGATTGAGATCAGTAAACAGATGATCAAAAGAACAATACAGTAATAGATTCATATGTGATATATGAATTAAATGGTAATTAATAAGCAGTGCATGAAAAATATCATAATAGAGTTAATAGAAAATGGCAAGATTAGTAATAAACAATTAAAAGAATAAAATGGTATGATCATTAATTAGGTAATTTAGCAATAGTCAAAGTTTGTATTTAAGAAAAGTAAAAATGAATAAAAAGAGTTAGTGTTAGTAAATGCTTTTGACCTGCAATTAATAAATCATTGAGAAAGTAATAATAAAATATTTATTCAAGCAGTAAACAAGGTACAAGGTGGTTGTCAATAATAAGGTGCTTACCTCTTAAGCTGGATTGTTAGTAACTAAAGGGTTCTATTAACCTGCGATACTGGTGATAGCTAAAAAATGTTTAACAGATCTAATAGCCAATTAAAATGCATGATTTACATTTTTGTATAACATATTGTAGTACTCTAAAATTTTATTGAATTTTAACATTTTTCTCTTTTCTTTCCTTTTTCTTATATTTTATTATGTTCTTATTATATTCTTATTAATATTTTATCATATTATCATTATATATTATTATTATTGGTACTATTATTTATTGCAATTAATGAGTAAGTATAGGGAACGTTCATATTCAGAAGCCAATATCTCTAAAACTAATACAAAAACCTGTTATTGTTTATTAGCAAACCCTCTATTTTGGGTCATAGAACATTTTTGTCTTAATAAGCTAGATCAATTATCATAGTAAAATTTTTAGTAATTAGCAATTTTTGATAAATATTCTAGAACTTACTAATTGTATAACAAAACTTAAATTAAATGTAACATGTAATGTACTATGTAACTCTATATACATCACATGATAGATAGGCATTAAATTAATATCCATACAGTATCAAAACATTATAAATAACCTCTCTTTTTCCCCTTCCTCAACTTTAACTTTGTATAAGTTCTCATAAATTGCAAATAAAATACTATTGTTTTCTTGGAAATTGTCATTTTTCTTAAGTTTTTGTTTTCTTTTTTGTTATCTTTTTTGTCATTTCTTGATATCTTTAGAGTGTATAAGGTTTGGATTCCCAGAGTCTAATAGTGTTTGCTGTATTGCTTTGAACTAAGTTTGGACTTCTTTGAATCTAATAAGGCTATATTTTATTTTATCTGCTTTCTATTATTCTATTATAACTTTACCTTTTAAATATTACTCTCTGCTTTAGTTCTTTAAATCAAACTGCTAGTTATTGCTTCCTTCTGCTAGACTTCATCTTGAGTCTAGTTATACAAAAATAGAGCAATAACAATATTTATAATACAAAGAGTAATTATTTTGGATCAGTCTGATGAAACAAAAACAATAACAAAAAGAACAAAAAGTAAAAACATAGTAAATACAAGAAATGGCTTTTTAAACCTATATCAAAACACTAATTAAAAATATCAGGAAGATAATTTTACTTAAACTATACAAAATTAGTTCTTATATTCTGGCTGTGTCAGTAAAGTAAAGATTGCAAATTTTAATTTTTTTAATATACTAACCAATAAAAATTGATTATTGGTTATGTGACCAATACAAAGTAATGATCATAATTAGTATAGCATGCTTTCATTCTAATTGGCTAATTTTTGTAGATCATTTTGAAACTTTACAAAATCTGATATTTTTAAACTATAATAATAATGTTTAATGCATTGGTTCTGGCAGCAATTGTCAAATACGTATCTGGTTAAATTAATAAAAAAAAGTAATATTTTTAATCTTAACAATCTCTTAATATTTGATATAGGAAACTCAGATCAGAGGGTTTAATTGGGTAATTCAAGTAATAGTAGGTTACAGGTATAGCATCTAGTGTAGCACCTAGCATATAGGTAGATTACTTAATTAGGCACCCAAAAGGTGCAGGTATGGCTAGAATGTACTTGTCTAAGGCCCCTTTAAAAGGATACCACATAATCCTAATATCTAATAAAAGCGATAAGCTGAAGAGGCTAACCTTGACTACAAAAAAAAAAAATCTCTTAATACTGTAATATATATAATAATATTTATTAATTGAATTGAATTGCTTACTAACTAATATATGGTTTAATAACCAGATAATAAGATAAATAATAAATTACATAAATCAATTAAAAAGAATTATCAAATATTAAAAAGAGTAATATATGCTCTTGAAAAGTATGAATAGTATAAAAACAAACACTAACTATGGAATAAAGTATATATTCATATATGTTCTATACATATTTTATATTTAATATATTGTAAGCTTAGTCAACTAACTTAATATTCAAAAAAAGTTCATAAAACTAGTTGTAAGTATATTGTTTGAATTACTATTTTTTAAGTTTTTAAAAAACAACTTATTAACTAAGGTGCGATTTACTTAACTGATTACTAAATTACTTTGATCTATAAGATAAAAGTGCATTCTGTCACTGACTCCTGTATTAATTAACTTTTTATCAGATTAATTTGATATATTATAAAGTGCAGTTTCAAAATATATATGCTACAACCTTTAAAAATTTATTTTTGAAGCAAACAATTCATTCAAAGTTAGTTATTATATACAGTATATATGTAACTATATATTTCAATAATTGACTAATTAGAATTAAAGCCTGCTATACTATCACGATTATGTTATTGCTTTATTTTATTCAGAAAATATGTTTATGAATATATACTAATATAACTATATTAATGGAAAGCAGATCAAGTAAAATTTTATAAATCTATAGAATTTTAATCTATTTCTATATGTTTTTGTTTATTTTTACTACCCTTATTCTTTCTTGAATACTTTTTTAAATTAGAACTACCAGACTATTGCTACAGTCACTACAACATGGATATTTACCTTTTAATACTTTAAAAACATTTAGACTTTCATATTTAATGCAAACATTCAGATAGATCCCAGCAGAGTAGTATAGTTTTTTAATTTTTGACGCACAGAACAATGAATTATTAGATTTTTTCTCTGTATTATCATCAAACTTTTCTATATTTTTAGCATAATCATCATCTAAACTTTCAGATTTAGATTTTTTAGATTCATTTTTTTGAGTTGTATTTTCTTGATTATTAGCTTCATTATCAGAACCAATGCTTTCTAAATCATTATGTATGTTTGACTGCTTTGGTGGTATAGTCATTGCTAAATCTTATGTTCTATAAAATGATATGCTGCAAGTATAAAATATTGTATCTAGGAATTTTTGCAATAATGTATTATCCTTTTCAGTGAGGCTTTTCATATTCAGTGCAATTTGTAATAATACAAATATTTTTTGCACATATAGCAGAGAGACAGAATAGCATGGTATGTTTTGTTTTTGTTTTAATATAATTCATTTTTGTTTTAGAATTTATAAGAGAAGGTTTATGATTTTTTGTTGTTCGCATACTATACAATTCTTTAAATGATTTGTAATGTAAATCATCTCTAGGTATTAGATCCAGAAGACAATGAAGTTGTTCAAACTTTTTGGCAAATAATGAGAGGAGAGCCAAATAGAACAAGATGATTCACCACATATCTTAATTAAAAAGAAATAATGCTTTGTGATACAATAATTCTTAGAGATATAGCTTTAAATAAAAGTATATTACTAACATTTTTTTTATATAGTTATTTTTATTATTATTATATATTCATTGCTTACTCTTTTTTTTTATATCTGCTGCAGTACAATCTTTATTAATAATGCTATTATCTACAAGTAAAATGGTATTCCAGAATCTTTCTATTTCTATTTCTGATACATCATTAAATACTTTGAATAGTTCTTCTTTTAGATAATGTTATTACTGCTTTCAACTCAGGGCACTAGTGGGTGCTTTGCAGAAGGGAGTAATAACTGACAGTTCAGAGTGTAGCAGAGAGTCAATATTTAAAAGAATAGTTTAGACTTATAGAAGAGTTAAATAAAAATAAAGAAGCAATTACAAGAGACAAGACTCAAGTACTGAGCACTTTTGGGTGTTGAAATGAGTCAAGAAAGAAGTAAACACAAACAAAAAGAAACAGAAAGAAACAAAAACTAATAAAGAAGAAACAAAATGAAAGGGTTTTCTTAGAGAAATTTAATAAACAACAAGTTTATTTACTATAAAACAATTACAAGAGAGAGAACTACAAAGTTATCAAAGTATATGTGTAGTTATTGTAGTTATTTTTAAGAAAGAGGAAAAGTGAGGCCTTATATAATGTTTTTAGACTATATAGAACATTTTAGAACTATATAGAAGATTACTAAACGTCTAACTATCGTGTGATGCACATGTGATCATCAAGTACATCATCTATTATATTGATTACTAATTATGTTACACTAACTAGTAATTTCTAGAACGTTTGTCAAAAATCGTAAATTACAAAAATTTTACTATGATAATCGAGTTAGATTATTAATACAAAAGTGTTCTTCTACCCAAAATAGGGGGGGTCAACTAATGCGCAGTAATAGGTTTCTGTATTAGTTCTTGAGATATCGGCCTTCGAATATAGACATTTTTTATACTCACTCTATAATTGTTATATAATAATAATAAAATATAGACGAAAATATAATGATAACTATAGTAATAAATATAATAATATAATAATATGATAATAATAATGTAATAAAATATAATAAAAACAAAAGAAAATAAGAAAAATAAAAGAAAAATTAAATTTCAGTGAAAGTTTGTAGGGTTACAATACTGATAACTGAACACATTACTAACCAAGTGAATCGGTACTTGAAAACTTTCTATAAAATTATCTTTCAAACCAGAATTTTCCTTACTAATTTTGCAGATTTCATTTATTGTGCCACCTTTACTGATTAATTTTTCTGATTTTTCATCTATTTTAGTTCACATTAATCCAATACTCTGCAATCCTAAATTTATAATCAACATAATATATTCAACTAGATTTTTCCATGAATGTTGTGGTGAAGTTCAAACAGCAACAAGGTAATTAAAGTCTAAAGAAAAAAAAAATATAAAAGATCTGGACTCTGATAAATATGCAACAGTGGTCTGGACCACCATCTATGTAGAGATACAGTATAGGTTTATCAAATAGATCTTCTTTAAAAAGGATATTAGATAATTTTATTGCATGCCAAAGGGCGAAGAAGGTTGAAAATCAGGTCTTTTAATCTAATATGTACTTGTTTATATAAAAATCACTATTTATCGATTTAGATTTATTATATATTATTACTATACTTGGTATAATTTCTGTTTTAGTATAATTATGATCAGCTACTTCAAATATTGTGTTTTCAAAAACTATGACTCTCTTTCTTCTCTCAACTGCAGCAACAGAAAACCTGGGCTCTTCAACTTTATAATGATGTTTATCATCTAAAAAGATAAAATTTGTAATTTTATGAAATTTCATAGCAAACTCTTTTTTATAATAAAATAACGTTAATGCATAATGAGCATCTAGATAATAAGCAAGCAACTGGTGCATTAGCACTATAAATTTTAAAGGTAAATAACCAGTAAATTGTAAACTACTAAACTGTGTTAGATTTTTTGCCCAAAATTGTAGCTGCAACATTGTGTACTAGGAATTGGTGTTTCAAATTGATATTCATATTCAATTTGATATAGAAGATCATTCACAGATATTGTGATTGCAAGATGTAGTATTGTTCATATCTGTGTTCATCTACAGCTGTCACTCCATCAGCAGCATTTTTTTCAAGAAATTGTGCAGCAATTTTTAAAATTTATAATATTTATTAGGCCTTCTGCTATTATGTTCATATAAATCAATAACAATTTCTGAATCACCAAGATCCAAGAGAATTCTAACACATTTATCAACCTTTGCTTAATTTGCATTTTAGCTGCAGATATATCACCTGTTAGTATTCGATAAATTGTTCAAAGAGATGATGGTTTAGCTTTTAGAAGAAGTAAATCACAGATATGTAGATAATTTATACACATATCACTCATATATAATAATGAGGTGTCTCTTTTTGTAACTTATTTATGATCTGATTATTTTCTTTTAAAGCTGGTCTTTAGCAACTTCTTCATCTATTTTTCATAATGATATTGCATTAAAAACATTATTTCCTGAATTAAATCTATATACTTCAATTTTAAAGGCAAATACATGTAATAAGCTCTGAATGTAACATATTTTTTGTCTATAATACAAAATATTTATTAGTTATTTCAGGAATAAGTATAAAAATATTAAAGATTTTTAAAAAAGTTTTTTCTAAAACTTTAAACAAAGATAACTGAATAAAAAATAAATTTTATTTACTTATACAGAATCAGTTGGTAAAAATTCTTTAATGTTTACTGGTTTCCATAGTGATAAATTAGTAAGTACTTGTTCAAGATGATAATATTTGGTCCTGTTAACTGGTATAGTTCAAGTGTTCTCTTTATAGATTTGAATTGTTGTAGCTTGACTAACAGTCTGTACAGAAGGTTCTGATATATGGTTCATATCCATAGTGTTACAATGTT